AAAAGTGTAAATCAAATTTACATTATTCGGAAATTCTTATATATTGTCCAATTTCTCTAATACTCACCTCATCATACAGTAATTCACCATTAATGTTATCCATAAAACAGAAGCCATTTGTATTACAAACGCTATTCAATCTTCGAATGGAAAACATATTTGGCACACTTAAGGAACATAAAAGCGTTTGTAATTGTTTAAAGATATAGCCTTAATGGTATTTTCTTTCTAAAATTAAAAATACAAAAATGAAATAATATTTTTGATGATAGTAGAAAGAAGTAAAAAATAATTTGCTTTATTCTAAAATAAAAAAGGAAAAAAGAAAATCTTTTGAAACTTTTATGTCTACTTTCAAATCAAAAAAATGTTTTTTTTTTAAGAACAAAATGTAGTCTCTATTATACTATGCTTTCAATTAAAAACGTAAGTACTTTAAGTAATTTAGTGGTAACGGTTTTACTTTTATCTGTACTTGAATTTTCATTAAAGGTAATTGAATCGAAATAGAATATAGTTTGAATAGATTGAGTATTCTTTAATAATAGTTTTTTTTTTTACGTTAATAAAGAAAACGAAAATCTCTTTTTGAGATCTTAACCAAGATTAGTTGGTTGTGTCTGGTCTATAGAAAATTGTAAGAATTTAATTATAAAAAAAAAAGTATTCTGCTGCCGAATGGTAACAGAATTGAATGGAATTACACTGTTTGCAAAATTGTTGATGAAAATAAAAAAATTATTTTCAATTAGGATGTCCATGTATCACAATCCTATTAACTAATCGATTCGTTGCAGTATTCAAAATATATCAATGAATATTATTGCATTCTATACAAAAAAAAAATCTTACTTTTTAATATGGTCATTAAATCGTAAGGTGTAATGCTAAAGAAGCAGAACTAATTATCGCGAAGTACAAAATTTGTAATCGATAAATGGAAAACTATCGAAATTTAGATTGACTGCAGAGATAAATGCGTTGAGGTCACAGTGTTTCGTAAGATTGCCTTATTCTTTTCAGCTTTAAGATTATGAAAAACTAAATTATACTTAAACACGCGTATAGAAATCGTTGTGAAAGCAAATTTCTATGTGAACAACAAATTTTCTAAGTCCCAAAGTCTATAATTTATTGTTAACTGTTTTAAGATAAAGAAGATAGATTACCTTACTCAATTAATGTTATAATTTCAGTAACGCTAATGCAAGTAAATCAACAATTATTCGTTTGTATCGAGTACTTTTGTGTAGAACTTGGCAAATCATAGAAAGACTCGACAATAAACAACGTGTCTGTTCGCCTTTTTGTTTTTTAAATTTTATATGAACTGCAGTCAATCAAAGAATGACTCTATTTATTTTGAATAGCCTCGCTACGATTCAAAATCGTTCTCATACATGAATTGTGATTCAACAAACTTCCATATTAAAGCCGGATTATTTTGTTAAAATAAACTTGTAGCTAGATTTTTCTTAAATCCCTTTCTGGACAATTTCGCATATGCTCGAATTAGGAGCGAAATCATCTTTAGTCTGAAATATTACCGACTATTGTATTATCGTAAGAGGTACCGACGCTTCTAAACAATCTGCAACGGTGTGTGTTCATTCTAATCCTCTCTCGTATGAATATTTTTAAATTTATTTTAAATAATTTTAAATTTTTTAAATTATTTAAATTAAAATCTTCCAACACAAAATGTTGAATCAGTAATAATATAATGTTAATCTTCCTCATCCTCTGTTAATCTATTTTAAATCTACAATACAAGTACATATGAAACGCTCCTTATTAAAGCAAAAAAAAAATTTTTTTTTTGCCACATTTAAAAGTCATTGCGTGTTTAAAATTATTCACATTATACTTGTGTTTAATATAAATTTACAAGTATAATAAAGTTGTTTATTTTTTTTATTTTTATTTAATTTAATTTAATTTTATTCAAAAGCAAATTTAACATACATACCATATGTTTCCGTATCACTTAATATTGTGAACAAAACAATAAAATTCAATCAACTAAAAAAGGTTTAATAAATATAAAATACCTGTATGTTTTACAGCCACTATAATAACATGTAATATATGCTATACAGTTTACAAATTTTCAATATTTTTGTAATCCGTATGTAATCTCTCACTTGAACATGCAAATATGGTAACAACAAAAAAAAAATTAAATTATAATACGGATTTGTTTTTAAATTTTATAATTAAATCATCGGATGATTTTCTGTAATTATACATGGTGGATAATCGTACATATACACACACATACGATAGAATGTCCTTGATATTCATATATATTTATTTTATTTACTTATATTAAAATATTTAATTATTATATTATTTTCCTTAACATAAAAAAAAATTTTTTACACGTAAATTTATAAAAATTAAAAAAAAAAAAAATTGGTATTACAAATGCAGTTATTAATTTTTAAAATATAGATTATTGCCTATAATGAGCTTTACAATACTTACATAACAGTAAAAAAAATGCAATCTTTGCAAATCAATTTGGTACTGTAATAATAAGGCAATAGTTGTGACTCACTTTTGCCTATGTTTTTTAAATAAAATATAGAGAAAATTTGTTGAAAATAATTTTCTATTTTCGTTATTGCTGTAGTGACACCGGAGCTGGCATATTTTATGATTCACTTGACGGGCAATTACGAATACGTCTTCGTAAATTACGACTCGTAATGAGAATTACAATTATTCTTCCCCAGTGTAAACGCGAGTTTGCGAGTTGAGAAACTTATTAGAAATTTATCGGAAGTTATTCTGAAAATAGTGAGGTTTCTGGCGGTCGTTATTCTCTTCATTTCGAAATTTAATTTTCATTTGATTTTCTATAGATTTGAGATGAGAATAACTGATGATTATTGGGATTTATAGCGAAGCTGTCTTGTTTTCAAAATAGCAACTAATTTTGTTTGTTGATGTAAACGATCGCCGCCGAAATGGGTTTTATAGCATCGTGAGGTATAAAATAAATGGGAGAGAGTACACTTTCTTGAGGGACGTATATCTCGTATTTTGCAAATATTTTTTGAACTCATATACGTACCTTCCTACATTTGTATGAAATGTTTCCATTGTTAACAGAATTAAATTCAGTTGTTGATTGAACCCCAACTTTCCAAAATTTTAAATTTTAATCTCATTTTAAAATGTTTGAAATAAAAGTAAGTAACAGACTAATATTATAATTAGTTGTTTTTGAACTATTTTGATAAAACTACAAACTAGTTCCCGGCCACTAAAACATAGCAAGAAATGAACGAGCCGATGAATTGGCTAAGTGTGGCTCAACTATGTATATTTTCGCGGAAGAACGGTGCTTATTCCCAACAACACTGTGAGAATGAATATATGTAGATATTATTTATTGTGCGGCGACTACAGTGGTCCATCCATGGACGATGGCAGAATAAGTGGGCAATTATATAGATTTCTCAAAAAATCGGATGGTTTAGATAGGTCACTTGTAGTCGTACGCTCAATGACGGTCTGGTGGTCACTGAGTGGTGGTAGCTAAACGGGTCGCACCGGGAACGTCAACCACAACACGTTACTTTGATTTTGTGATCTCATAATTAATATTACAATTAATTTCTTACAATATTAATTGTCTTCGCATTATACTCGTAAAATTACTGGTCGTTTTTTCTCTTTAAATCTTTGTTACTCTGTAAAGAAATAAAAAGTATTACCAATTCTTGTTAAATTTCCTTTATTTAAAAATGATAACATCAGGTAATATTTTATTCAACTATTTTTTTATAAGTTACTAATTTTTAGCCAGAAAAAAAATGTTTGTTTTTTAATATTCCAAAAAAAAATTCTTTAAAAATTTTTTGCATGGCAACAAAATTGCTTACTGTGACAATGTTTTTTTCTTATAAATTGCAAGAATAAAACAAAATTGTATTGAAGTGTTACCGTTCTTCATTTATGTTTTCTTCTTTTTGTTATGCTAGAAAAGCTACTGAAATTCATTATTGTGATGATGTTATACAATTATTTTATTAATTTCTTTAATTAAAAATTTATTTTAACAAAAAAAATTTTTTAAAAATAAAAACACAAACTTTTTTTCTGTTCTTCCGGTATTGGAAAAAAAAAATAACACAATTTTTTTGCTATTAGAAAATTTTATAATTTTAAAAATTAAAAAAAAAATCACTTAAATTTTTTCATGTTTAATATTTTAAATAAAACAAATAAAAATTTTAAAATTATTAAAAATATAATTTCAATATGCTATTTGCAAAAAAAATATGTTTGAATGTTTGTATTGTTGCATACAAAAGAAAAGCAAAAATTATTTTTTGTCTTGTTCACTCTTTTATTTATTCTCAATATTGTTTTGCTCTTTCAATGTTTTTTAAGTGTTTACGTTGTTGTTTGTTTCTTATTTTTTGTTCTGTTTCGTTTTTTTTTCTTGTTTTTTTTTTTTCAAAAGTTCATTAAATCAAGAACCAGTTCTCTTTTGTACCATAAAAGTAAAAAAAAACAAAAAAAGACAAACAAAAATTGAACCAAAATGAAAAAGTACTGTTTTTTTTTTTTGGAAAAAAAAATTTCAATTGAAAAAATCGTTTATTTTTTTTTTTAGAAGAAAAAGTTTGCGAATTTCTTATTTTTTTTTTTTTATAATTTTTTTTTATAATTTTTTTTTTTTTAAATAAAAATTTGTTTCTTGGAATTTTTATCTTAGTATGAAATTTTACTAATAAATTTTTTTCTTCTTTTTTTTTTTGTTTTTGTTTTCTTTTCTCTTTTCTTACTTCTTTTCCTCGTATGTTCTCTTCTCGTTTACATTCTTTACTTTTCGTTCATTTTGTTTTTTGGAATTGATTTATTTGATGATTTACATGTTCGTTCTCCCCAAAACTCTGTTTTAATTGGGTAACAAAAAAAAAAAAAAATCAAATTCAAAATATTTTATCAAAAAAAAAAAAAAACCATCGAAATAAACTAAACAGTGCGCCCAAGGACGTGCAGCATGGTTGGAACGAGAACGTATCAGACGTTGTAGTGTCCAAGAGAAAGATATTACAACACCAGCTACCTGCCATCGAAAATGGGTGAAACGAAATCGAGTAAGTATTATTGTAGTTGTGTATTGTGTATATGGAATTTTTTTTTTTTTCTAAAAATTCAAAGTTTTTCAAATCAGCGATGATTTTAAAAAGAGAAATTGACTAAAATTCAAAATATTACAAATTAGATTTTTACTTGTATGGTAACACTTATATTGTCAAAATTACACTTATCTTTCGACACATCGTAATATAGAACCTTATTGAAATAACCGTAACAGTAATGTCTTTAACCTGATTATAGGAGAATATATGATAACGACTTTAATGCTTCCTGCCGTACCTGTTAATATAAACTTTTATTTTTGTATAAGCCATCTTCACAGCCTTCTAGATGCTTTCTGAAAAAAAATGCACCTTTCGGATTCCGCAGTTAGAAGCAATTATCCATCAGAGTATACAGATACTCTGCTATAAATACCGGCTTTCATTCTTTGATCCATTTTCAAGCTTTAAAATTTTCAATTCCGAGAAAATTTGAAAAGCAGTCCTACTACTGCTGAGTACTTTTAATTTAATCTTTTTATTTGGCGAATATATCGAGGCATAATCAGTTAAGTATGACGTGAGACGTCGAAAACTTCGTCTTCACTCTATAATTTTTTTCGGCCAAAATAATATCTTATTGGCAAAATTTGTACATTTTCGTAAAAAAAATTAACAAAACAAACGCCGTGCGCTAAATTTGCATAAGTAAATTGCAAATAAATGGCAATGATGCATATATTTTTTTAAATAATTATTTTGCTTGTATTTATGCACGGAATTCAAATAAAATTAAAATATTTGTTTGATTTTATTTTTGATCTTCTGTTTCCTATGTCTTTTTTTCCTGCAACAAAATCACGTTTGAGTAATTTGCCGGGACAATTATTAAAATTAATTTTTGTTATTGTCTTGAAAAATTTACTTTCAAATATTTACTCTCAATTTTATTTATGTACGTGATGCGAGTATTTCACGTACAGGACAACAAAAAGAAAATCATAATATTATTTATCCTTTAAATATTTAAATACAATAATTATTACGGTCGATTATTTGATAATTTTTATAATGTTTAATCGATTCAATGCTCTTGCTTTTTGTATATTTAACCAAATCAATTCCATGAACTCAGGAAAAAGTTTATGATAAATAAATAAAATGCAATAATATGCAAATCATAAAAGATGAAATTTTCTTTGGATAAAACTTTTGGTATATAAGAAATTGAAGAATGTTAAAAATTCTAAAACAAACAATTATCATTAAAGAATATTTGTACAAAAAGATATAAAGACTCTGATTTTTATAATTTATTAAAGATACAAGATTCATCACTTGGTGGCTCATCAGATGACGAAGACTTATTAGGTGTATTAAGAGGACCTAGTAATTTTGCAAATGCCTTCCTTTATGTTGGCTTAGGTACTGTAGCAATTGGTTTAGTTATAGCATTCGTTGGAACCGGCGAGAAAGGGTTCAAAACTGTTGAATTAAGACTTATAGGACCTTCGTTAATAGGTAAATATTTTAAAATAATTTAATAAATTTTTTTACATAAATTTATTTGTTTTATTCGTTTTTGCATTCATTTAATCACATGTATCTTATATTTTTTCATTGATATAGGTATCGGACTAATATGTTGTATATTACGAATATGTTTTTGTATATGTCCATCTAGTTGTATATCATCTAGTAGAAGAGCACGTAAAAAAAATAGTAATAAAGTTGATGCGGATCATACTACTTCCTTACTTCGTGGCGAAAATAAACGTGTTTCAATAGCGAAAGGCCCACATGTAAGAATTTTTTTTAATATAACGCCAGTATAACATGGTCTTTTGCAAAAATAACTTTAATAATAATTTTTACATTTCTTATTTCTTTTTTTTTCATAATTGCAGCGATTCCCACTGGGGCGAAAGAAAAGTAATAATAAAATGATGAATGAAGGTATGGAAGCACTTAGACAAATAGCAACAACATCGTTATTTTTACAAAATGAACAAAAACCCGCCAGTTCAAATCGTGTTGTTCCTATTATTAAAGAACCTGAAACTCTTCATGGTATAAAATAAAATTAAAATCTATTAATTTTTAATTAATTTAATTAATTTTTATTTTATTTTAATTTTTTTAATATTTTTTGTAAAACAGATTCACCATTAGAAATGAAAAAATTAGATACTACATTAAATATAAGCGATATTACAGATGATGAAGATGAAGATGATGAATCACAAGCCATAATACAACCTCATCAACATCATAAAAATTCTTCGATGGCTGCCGCGACTGCAATTATACAATCTAATAATAATAATGATGCACATGATAATATCGATGAAGAATCACCATCAGCGCCATTAGTACGTACACAAAGTAAATTAGCTAGAAAAAGATTTTCAATACATCAACAACAAAAACAACAAGATCAACATACATCATTATCATTATCATCACCGCCATCAATAGCGCCGCCATCAAATCAACAATTAATTAATAATAATAAATATGATGCTGATACATTACTTATGGAAACATCATTAATGGTAATAAATCCTACACCGCCAACGACAGCGGAATCAAATAAATTAACGCTACCTGTTGAAATACCAACAACATCAGCATTAATAAATACATCAAAAACGAAAACAATATATAATAATAATAATGAAAATAATAATAGTAATAATATTAAATCGACAATATTACCATCAACTTCATCTTCCATTAAAAATAATAATAAAGTAAAAAGTTTATCACCACCACCAGCACCATCATTATCGGCTACATCATTTATACCGGCATCAACAACTTTAATAGCACCTCGAAGTACTTATGATTTACCGAAGTCAACATTAATTAACGGATCTAATATAACGGAAGCACATAAACAAAAAGCACAAAAATATGATAAACAACAGCAAAAACAATCACAACAATCTCAACAATTACAACAACAACATACACCTGGCCAAATTATTGATTTTTCAATATCAACATCATCTATATCATCATCATCAGCAACAACAACAACACCAGCAACTGTTATAGGTTTAACTGGTGTTGAAGGTGCTATTGGTGGTAGTTTATTATTACCAAAAACATTATCAACAACAATAGCAACATCAACAATAACAGCAGCAACAAAAACAACAACAACAATAATGCCAATAATACCACCACCACCGCAATCATTATCATCATTATCATCAAATAATAATATGAATTCACAATTAATATTAACACCATCATTATTACCTGGTACTGTTGTCGGTCCAACATCAAATATTATATCTTCATCAACTGGTAGCAATAATAATAATAATAATAATTATAATATAATAAGTAGTGGTAAACCATCAACATCGTCTAATTTATCATCACAATTAACACCACCGCCATTAACAGGATTACAAACTGAACCGGAAATAGTATTAAGTCCAGCTAAACTGGGTCAATAACAAATGGGGATAATTGGTAGAAATGTAGAGCACCTTATGTAGTATAGAATAATATTAATTATAAAAATAATATTAATAATAATAATAATGAAAATAAAAATAATAATGATAATAACAGTTATAATAATAATTATATTAAAAATAATAATAATTAACATTATCATAATTAAAAATCATATATCCATTTTAGGTATCCTTTTTAAAATTTTTGGCAAAATTCATAATAATAATTTTAAATTTAATAATTCTCTAATTTTAATAATAAAAATTGAATTTTTGTTTATTTTTTATTTAAAAAATAAAAGGAAAAAAAATTATTTATTTAAAAAAAAAAAATGAAACTTATTTTGCATTTGAAATTTTCCAAATTATTCCCATATTTTCTATATTTTACCTTTATTTTTTTAATTTACTATTATTTTTTTTTTTTCAGAAACCCAATATTTCCTACCCTTTGATATTTAATACTCGGTATACACACATAATATAAATTTACTTGTCTTACTGTCTTAGTATTTAGTAATATCGTAAATGTTTTTTATGTATGCATGTAAAAGAATTTTCAAAACATGAAAAAAAACCTATATAAGAATTTAGATTTGTGGCAAACTATATAGAAAATTTAGAATTTCCCAAATAATAAAATCACATATAAATACGTACACATATACACATATATATATATAATTATTGATATTTATATATGCATAAGTATATGTATACATGAATATAGAGATTTTTATCGTATAGATTGTAATTTAGCTATTTTAGAACAAACTAAATAGTTTTGATCAAAATACTTACTAGTATATAGAAATTTATTAATATGCGAGTAGTCAGTCAAAAACAAAATAGAAAAGAAAAGAAAATACAATCTTCCCTCTCTGCTATCCCGTCCATAAGATTCAATAAAAAAAAAATAAATTGAATTATACGCGTATCTAAAAATCGAAAAATATTAAATTTACAAAAAAAAAAATTTAATTTGAATAATGAAAATAAAAGAAATTTCATTTCTTTTTTAAATTAATTTTATTAATTTTTTTAAATTAATAAATAGCTGGTATTTAATACAATTTACATATTTTACATCGCTCTGATTTATTTTATCAATTAATTTATTTTCCAAATTAAATTGCAAGTAATTTTAAAATTTTTATTCAACGTAATATTACTTATTGAATTTTTTAACGATAATTTATATTTATTATCGTAAAAATGTTCGAAACAATGCTTACGTGCGTACTTTATTTCCGAAGCAAACTTGAAAAGTGGAGGTTATTCTGAATTTTGAATTACTTAGAGTGATAGTGATATTTATCGTAAAAGTTTCAAAAACTTTATTATAAACATAAATCATTTGAATTTATTGGTTTGTGTCTACAATAGTAATATTAAACTTTTTACGGATAAATTATCACTATCACTTAGTCATTCATTACTCAGAATACTAGCACAATAATTGCATGCTACAATTTTTTACAAAAACTCGAAACAGCGCATTCGAAGCAATTCACTATTGTGCTATCACTCCGATAACTAAAAATAAGAGTTATAAAATTTGGAAACCAAAATTCATAATTTTAAACAAATAAATTTTTAAGAGATTTTTTCGTAAATTTTTGGCTGTTTTGGCTTTTCAATAATAATTTAAAATCTGTTTAGCGCCCCGAGATATATGCAATAATTTACTACATACTTAAAAGTAGAATATTATTATTAATTTTACGATAAGACATATCTAACTGAGTTAACACCTTATTGTTTGCAAATATTTTAATCAAAAGATAAATTAGTATTTATTCTGAATGAAAATTAATTTCCAGCGTACTAGCATAATTATCTTCTAAATCTTAATCTCTTGATTTTAATCTTTTATTTATTTGAAAACTTTATATTCTTATAATGAAAATTTATAAAAATCTTTTAATTTATTCCAAACACAATTTGTAAAATCTATAATCAGAATAATTTCATTTAAAATTGCAAATTTACAACAAGAGTAAAAATTTTTTATTTCATATTTTGCAAATATAGCTAGCCTAGCCATTTTCAATTTCTCCCTAAATTTAGAAAATAAATTCAAAAAATTATGTTATAATAAAAAAATATAAAATCAAAATTTTTAATATGACAAATTATAACAATTTATAATTTGTCACAATTAATTCGCTACTCTACTATAATATTTTTTCCTTTAAATTTCACTCTATATTAAAAATCGTCCTGTTGTGCGTGTCTATGAATTTTTGGTATTAATATACGAAAAAACAAAATTTAAATTAAAATGAATTAGACAAATTTAATTTTTTTAAGTGGAATACATGAATAATAAAAAGTTTTTTTTTGTTTTATACAAAGCTACACATTTATTTAGTATGTGTTTATAGCCGTATAGATGTATAGGACTTTTTATATATTTTTAATGATTCTTAAGGTTAATTTACTTATAAAAATGACTTTAGTCAAAAAGAATATATAGGCAAAAAAACAAGCACACATATTATTCAAATGTCCTTTCCTTTTATTAAAATTTTGATAAATTTTACAATGAGGTTATAAATAAATTACGTAATGAGTGTTTCCCATGCACTTAATTAAAATTTTTACTATTAAAAATTCAAAAAATTTTACAACACTAAAATTTGCATGCATACACACAAAAAATTTATTTCTTATTGTCATCAAAATCATATCTTTTTAATCATATAATTATTAAGGTACTTAAAAATTTTGTACATTCAATATGAACAGAGATTTCCTACCAGGTTCCGGGCATAAATCCTGAACTCCTGCCTGGTGAAATTTTAAATATTGCAAATTTTTGAAAATTTTTCTCTATTAAGTTTTATTATGACATTGAATAAATTTAGAACGCCAACTTAAAAAATACGATCTAAGTAAATATCATAAAATTTTTAATTATTGTGAATTTTTTGTGAAAGTTAGTCATTTTTTTTTGGCATAATTTTCGTTAATTCTATATACAGCTAGTACTGAAAAGGAATTTATAATAATTTTTATGATTTCAATTCACAATACAAAGTCTATTTCAATTTAGAACGGAAAGATTTCAAGTTATAATTAAAAATTGAAGAAGAATGTAATGTGACTTACATAATTAAAAAAATTTATAAATGAACACTGTATGCAATTATATTAGAAATCAAAAATTTCAAACGAATTTCCTGATTATCGAGTAAATAAGTTTTAAGCTTATATGAAAAACAAATTTCAAGAAGAACAAATTTCGGCTTAAAATTTTCCTCTTAAATCTTTGGTTTTCCAAAAAAAAAAATTAACATAATTTGAAATTAGTCCCCCCTCGACTAAAATATACCGCATAATTTTTTTCCAACTTGAATAAAATAAAAAATCCTTTTTTTTTCACATTTTGTTTTACAATTTTTTTTCTAACCGGCAGAAAAATGAAATTATACAAAAAAAAATGTCTTAATATAATAAAAATCACACGCAATCTTATACGCAAAACAGAAAGAAAAAAAAACTCATATAACTCATATACTTTTCGCATAAAACGCTAATGAAATTCAACATGAAACCATTTGAACTTGAAAAAATACAAAAATGACTAAAAACTAGCTACTAGCTATTTTTTTTTTAATTATTTATAAAATGTTTTTATTTTTTTTTTAAATTTATCTTCATAGTTTATTTTTCTCATTACAAAATTTTTGGGGTGCAAAATTGACGACAAAAAGACTGTTAATTTGATAAATCAATGCCAAATATTATTCAACTTTTTGTACAACAAAACAAAAAAACAAAAAAACATTTTAGAATAATAAAAAAGAAAATAATAATAATAAAATATTTAATTAAATTGTCAACCTTGTTGTGCAAATAACAGCAAAATTATATAAATATTAACATTTGAATTAAATTAAATTTATAGGACACAATCATTTAAAATTGAAAAAATTATTCAATAAAATTAACAGTCAAAAAATTTAATTTGCGGCAAGCAAAGAATATAGTGAAATATAAAAAAAAATTGCATATGTTTAGGCGAGAACATTAAAAATTATTTTGTATTTCAAAACCAAATTTATTAATATAAAACAAAAATGTTGAAAATGAGGTAAATAAGATAAGAATTTCTAATTAAAGTTTAAAGAGTTTTAGAAAAAGAAAATTTTAAATATTAAGAAATTTTCTCATTAACTCATTTACTACCTTAATTTTAATTAATAAATAGCAAATGAATTGGCCGTGAACACAAAAATCCAGATACTCAATTTGTCACCCACAATTTCAATTTATGACCTTATATTCACAATTTATATTAAGCTATTAAATTTGTATTGCTGAATATAAAAAAAGTTGATGTTAGATCTACATTATGGGAAACAGAATAATCAAGATTTTCTTATTGTTAGAATCAATTTAGAAAATTTAATATTTTATGTAGCCATTGCAATAATTTTAATTTAAAAATTATACAGGATTTTCATTTAAAATATTATACAGCCACTAAGTCGATTAGTTTATACCCTAGTTATTTATTCTCAATCTCAATATAATCATATGAATCTTTTATATTCTTATATAAAATTGTCAAATAATTTCCTTGTATAACGAAATGGAAGAAATTTTAAAAAATAATGAAAACGTGAGTACAAAATTGTAATTATATTTTTTCACAATATCTTTATATTAATCACTAAATATTATGCTAACAATGTGTTTTTTAGTATATAAAGTGTATAACACAAGCAAACTAAATGTGCTGCACTGAAATTAGCAATAAGTTTCAAGATATTGAACACAAATTCTACAAAAATTTCGCTTATATATTTTATGTAATTTTAATCATCCATATTTTTTTCCATCATCATCCAGCACCGTATTATAAATTGTGATTATTCTCCAAAAAAAAAAAACGCCAGGATCTAAAATATATTTCTTATATAAGTATATGCATATCTCTGCTATACTGCAATTTGTTATGGGTCTGGATATAATGGAGATGAGAGTCACAAAAGATCCTATGAGTCGACGTAAGAAGGGCCTAAAAGCTTCAATTCCCTACGGAGAAAAAAATATATTATTTATATTATTTACTTATATTATTATTTATTTATATTATTTATTTATATTATTCATTCCAGAAAAAGCAAACTGTTGTAAACATGCATAAATATGCTATTAGGATTTTTTATTTTAATTTCAATGAAAACTTCAATTTTACTATAGAAATATTTATAGCTAATAAAATTTTAAATTTTATACCATAAAAATGAGAATGATTGTGGAAATTTATCGTATACAAAAACGTT